CTATTTACAACCCAAATACAGAGAGTCCTCATTTCTGTTTGGGGATAATATTTATAGATGGAAAACAATTCAAAGCTGTCATCCATAAATACTCAAGATGCAGTAGAAAATAGTTAAGAATTGTACATTCTGAAACTAACAGGATTAGTTACAAATGTAATGCATCTAAAAGTTATCCATAGATAATCTATGTGAGTAGAAATAAGAGGGTAGTGAGTCTACTGGTTAAGACTTTCATAGATGAACACAACTGCCCTGTTAGTTTTACTAACGGGATGGTGACTGCAAAGGTAATTGCACAACATTTTGAAGATATAATTAGAGACCACCCAAAAATGAAGCTTAAAGAGATACAAAGAAGGGTGCAATCTGAAATACATGTAAATGTTAATTTGAGTAAATGTCGACGGGAAAAGAATATGGTGACATCAAGGTTAGGTGGAAACATGAAGGAAGAATTTGCAAACTTGTGGGATTATGCAGATGAGTTACAGTCAAAGAATCCAGGGAGTACAATAAAGATGACAGTAAATAGGGTGTCAGATAATTCTCCACCTCACTTCAAACGATTTTATGTATGCTTTGATGCTATGAAGAGAGATTGTAAAGAATGGTGTAGGCCTATAATCAGTGTAGATAACTGCTTCCTTAAGGGCCCATTCAAAGGCATACTTTTATTTGTTGTTGGGAGAGATGGCAATGATCAGATGTACCCTATCGCATGGGCTGTAGTTGAGGGTGAAATAACAGATTCTTGGTCTTGGTTTCTAAATATAGTGGCAGCAGACTTGGGATTGGATGATGGATTTGGCTACACCATCATCAGTGACCAACACAAGGTAAATCAATGTATTAATTTTACTTGATGTTAGTTGTTATTTTACTGTGCACAATCTGACTTATTGATGTTATATAACTTGTTGTTCTATGATAATTGAATAGAATCTCAAACTTGTTAAATTTTGCTTGACAGGGTATTGAGATTGTTGTAAATGATGTTCTACCACGAGTAGAACATCGAAATTGTGCTCGACACATGTTTTCCAATTGGACTGGAAGGAAAAGAGCAAAATCATATCAGTTTGTCTTTTGGCAAATTGTGAAGTCCACGATTGAGAGAGAATGGGAGGAGAACAAAGATGCATTGTCAAAGATTGATAGCGTACTTGCTACTGAATTGTTTAGCAAAAAAGAGAAAATGTGGACCAAGGCCTTTCAAATGATGCATTCCAAGTCAGATATAGTGGACAATAATTTGTGTGAGGCTTCGAGCATTGCTGATGCAAGGTACAAGAGCATAATTACAATGCTTGAAGAGAATCGAGTGAAGATAATGACAAGAATAGTTGAAAAACGGAGATTCCTCACTACATGGAAGTATAATTTTAGGCCACTAATCAAGAAAAAATTTGACATCATGAAGAAAGACAGTATTCAGTGGAGAATGATTTGGAATGGAGATAATGAATGTGAGGTAAAGAAAGGGAATAAACAGTACATTGTAGACTTGAATGAAAAAACATGTACCTGCAGAAGGTGGCAACTAAGTGGGATTCCGTGTCCGCATGCTTATTGTGCAATATGACATACTGGTGGGGACCCAGATGAATGGATACATTCCTTCTATCACAAAGACACATACATTAAAGCATATAAATATGCTTTACGACCTATTAATGGGCCTCAAGATTGGAAGAAATCTGGAATTGAACAAGTTCTTCCATCGGTTGATAAAGATATGCCTAGAAGGCCTAAGAAAAATCGAAGGAAGCAAAAAGATGAACCAAAAAAAGTCAAGCCTGGACATGTTAGCAGGATTGGTCTTATTATGACTTGTAAAAGATGTGGTGGACAAGGTCATAATAAAAGATCATGTACTGCAAACCAGGTATTTATAGTTTATGTATTCAAGTTGTTTTAAAAATTCAAGTAAATGTTAGATTTTTATAGTATAATTTTTTGTTGCAGGACCTTAATATCTATGGGAATTCTTCGATAAGATCACCAAGTACAATCGATTCAAACCCAACACACGTATCAAGGAAAGGAAAGGAGAAGGCCTGTGTTACTGCTGATAGATCAATGAGGAAAAAAAGATATGAAGGGATAGGCCTTTACACAAACTTGAGGACTGGAGAGCATACATTCTATGTAAGAACGTTTTAAATAAGTAACATTATTTTTTTCGAAAACTTAAATATTGTTTGAATTTTCTAATATGTTATCAGTTTGGTACAAGAGCACCAAAGAAAAGAAAAGGAACCGAGGACCATTTGGACACTCAAGAATCAGTAGCACCAAAAAAGAAAAAAAATGAATTGTCTGATCGAGTGGGTCTTTTGGTTGTGCTGCTTTTTGTTAGGGTATATGTTTTAGGTTGAGCTTCTTTTTGTGTATGGCAAATATCTGTCTAACTTCATATGATATACCCTGTAACAGTAATATATGTTTTTTTTTGTGTATGGCAAATATGAGAGTTATTTATTTTTTTGTGCACATCATGTGAGGGTAACTTTTGAATGTGTCATTTCTATATTATCCATACAATAAGAGCACATATGTTCATAATTTGATACACTATTTGTAATATGTATTTCATGTTGGATTTAATTTACATTAAACGTCTAAACTAATGATTAAATTAATATAATAATATATTTGATGTTTTAGTGATTTAATTATAATGTTTATAACTTGAGACGAAATTAAAACTGACATAATGATAAAAAATATCTTTAATATTGATTAAATAGTCACTTTAATTTTTTTTGAGTAAATTTATTCTCAACGTTTCATTTTGGGACAAAAAGATTTCTATTATAAATAGAAATCGTTAGTCAACAAACGCGAAACACTTCAAAATAGAGGCATTTTTCCCTTACAATGAAATATTGGGTAAAAATGCTCTAGAAAAAGAATAAGAGTTAAAGTGACTATTTAATCAAACATCAGTGATTTTTACGACTTAAAATAAAACGTTAAAAACTAAAATAATTCGACCATAATAGAGATTAAAGTGACTATTTAATTAAATATGTTATTAAAATATGGGACATAAAATTAGGGTCCAACAACTTTGTCCACTGTGAAATAATGTTGGACTAATCAACACTAGTTAGCCCAAAATTACATTTGGACTTATAATGTTTTTCGACACCAGAGATTTGTCGGCCCAATTAATTGAATTTATTTATATATAGGGTAAACTACATGTTTAGTACGTCTCAACTATTGCTTTTGTTCCATTTTGTGCACCTAATTATTTTTTATTTCAAAATCATACCTAATGTTATATTTTGGTTTCATTTTAGTCTCCTACAGTTAGAAAACTAACGATGATTCTAAAGTGTCACCATAAGGTAATGTCACGTCATGATTGGGAAAAAATAAAAAATTCTATGGTAGTAATTATGTTAATTTTTTAATGACGGGTGACCAAAATAAAATTAAAACGTATGTAATGTATGATTTTAAAATATACAATAGTTATATGACCAAATGGAACAAAGGTGATCATTAAGGTACTAAACATGCAATTTACCCATATATATTACATTTTTATTAGAAAAAAAAAGTTAAATAAAACCTAAAACACAACAAAAGTGGAATTTGGAGCATAAGAGCTACGTGTACTACAAAAAAGCCCTTGCTGTAAGGCCAAGGCCTAATCATGACTCTCTATACTGAGTATAGCCTAATTCTCCGATTTAATTATTTTTAAAATTTTAATTCGTAATTTTAATTTAATTATATTTTAAGATATGATTGTTTTAAATTTAATTAAAAACTTATTTATTTATATTCCTTAATATTATGTTTCAGTTTACAAAATAAATATATAAGGATAATTTGCATAATTAATGACTGAACTTTCTTCTCACTCCTACTCTGATCATTGTACTTTACAAGTTTTAAATTTAATAATTAAACTTTATTCATTAAATTTTTATCACTCCGTCACTAAAAAAAATAACGGCATTATGACATAGATTAATTAAATAATTTTTTAAAAATAGAAAAAGAAAAGAAAATGATTGAAAAAGACATTAATTACCCAAAAAAAATCCTTTTCTCTACAAAGCTGAATTCAATCAAACGCACAAGCTCCTCCACCGAATTCCTTTTACCAACTTTTCCCTTTGTACCACACATTGATCGCTTATGGATGCTCTCTTTCGTTGTCTCGCTTCAGATAACCATCCTCTTCATGGCTCATTTCTTCCCTTTCCATCAACGTCGAACCCACTTCCCCAACCTTGAATCTGACCCATGCTCCTCTAGTAGCATCTATGTCTACAACTTGCCGCTTGTTTTCAACCAAGAATTGTTGAATAATTGCGATGAGCTGAACCCATGGAGTTCGAGTTGCGAAGCTTTATCCGACGACTAGTTAAGGAGGAAGGTCGTCGGGTTATCCGATGTCGTACCAAAGGAGTTGATCCCCGCTTGGTATTGAACTGACCAGTTTGTCATGGAAATTATGTCACAAAGTGTCGTACCATGAAGCTGGATTCCGTCGCAATATTTTATTTTCTGTTTTATGCTGGACTCGTCGTTGGAAAATACTTATGGTCCAATTATAGTTCAAAGGATTATGATAGGTACTGCGAGATGATACTAAAGTGGTGGAGGATCAGTTGTATTGGAACGAGTCCGATAGACGGGATCATTTCACGATGATGGGGCGTATTACATGAGATTTTCGACGAACCATAAACAAAGACGAGTAAGTATTTGAGAATAAATGAGGGTGGTGAGGGAAGAAAATATAAACGTGATGGAGTTACCAGTAATAGGAGGAAGAAATTATTAAAATAAACCACATCACCGAAGTGTGATTGAGTAAACGATCGAGTGATTAAAAAAGTTTGATGGGTAAAGTTTAGTTATTAAATTAAAAAATTTAAAGTATAGTGACCAAAATAATAGTAATAATAAAGTTTAGGTATTAATTGTATAGTTTACCCATAAAATGGAAGAAGGCAGAAAAAACAATGTTGCAGACAGAATACACATGTTCCTTTCCTCTGTCTCTCTGATCATCATCTCATCCATTTTTTCAGTGATTTGGTTTTGTCCTATTTTCATGATTTTAATTTTTATTTTTCATCATAAATAAGATCCTTTGAACACAGAGCAAAATAACAAGGAGAAGGAGAGAGCAAGAAAAAAGGGCAAAAGTCTATTAACTCCCCCAAAAAAGAAAGATGATTCCTCTCCTTAAAATTCATTTCTATTAATGCCTCCCTTTAATCTCCAAGACCCTATATATCTTCCTCTTATGAATTGCGTTTCATCGTCGCGGCTTTCTTTTTCAGGTATTTCTCGTAATCTAGGTGATTTTCCCCCATAGATAATATGTAGTATTTTTAATTATTGAAATTAGTTTACTTTTCAAGATCGTTTATCTTTACCCTTTACGGGATTTATTAATTTTTTTGCTAATTTTATGGTTATTTACTTTATTTTGAAACTACAGGAGGAATTGAGGTCGACCCATGTTGGGTTGTTTGTTAATTTTATTTTTCAATTGTAATTGGGTATTTATTTACAAGCATTTTCGATTTTTAGAATTGAAAAAAAATAGTCAAGTATTTAGATTAAAAAAAGGCATTATTCAATTTAATCATCTGATTTTTTTAACTAAATAGAGGGAGAAATGGGATTGGGTTTTCTTGTTTCCTCATATTTTTGTCAAAAGACCTAAGCTTTACTAGTACACAAGCGAGTTACATGATTTCTAAAACGACCTTTTCCATAGTTGGATTAAATTTGTGTGTTTTCACTCCTTTTATTAATGTAGATGCTCAATTTTGCATTTTTAGATTGCTGATTCTGCAAACTACATTTTGTTGATTTTGTAATTTGAGGCTTCGAGAAGTAAGTCTCTGGTTTACCGTCCCTGTATATCAGCATTTTATTCCTTTTGATCTGCTGATATTGTCTGGAAGTATTTCCGGCAAAAGCCTAATTTTTCTTCACCAAAAGGTTTTGAACTCTTCCCTGTTTGTGAGTCGCAGCTAAGTGTTAATAACAAGCACATTACAGGCAGTAATAATTTATTTCTTTATTCCTCTGCTAGCTTGCAGGTAGTTATGGATGTCAATGCATGGAAGGATTGACAAAGTGGTACATGAGTTGTAGGCTAGTAGCAATTGCATGCCTTGACTTGTTTCCACTTGGTCACGATGCTGTGAATTTGACTGCTTGATCAGCATTGAATGTGAATGGGTTGTTATAAAGCTTTGTGATTTTGCACATGATTGAGTGGTTTTGAATATGGTAACAATTGCCTTGATTTTCCACTTGGCCTAGTGGCATGAGAGCCGGGTTCAATCCCTAGCATACCTTCCTGCATTCCCCAATTATTAGTTGTACTAAAACAAATGGTGTTGCTGTTTACTGTTAAACATAAACTGTGTTTCGCACATTCTCAGGTGCGTTTTCATGTGTGTGGTTCTTACTCTTAGTTTGACCGAGAATCCTGTGTGTAATCTATGTTGCATGAGAGTCTGCCTGTAGATATCAGTTCATAACTTGATCTCTAATAGACCTGGCATTTTTTAAACTAGAACTGTCGGTATTTATTTTTCTTTGTTTTTTTTTATTGACCAATATTCATACCCTAGGTTTGATCTAGTTGAACTATTAGGATATCACGTGGTATGCCATGTAACTTAAAGTTGTTCTCGCCTGCACTTCCTCTCAAAAATCAATATCTGTTGTATCGTAGTTATTTCTTTTGGGTTCAAGGTGCTTACTGGTTGGGGCTTTTGCTTGCGGAAATATGTAACTGGGTAAAGCTAAATAACTCTGGAACTTCTGAAATTATTTTGTATGCTAAATTTGCAATATATTTTTTATTATAATTTTCTTCAATGCATTGGATGACCCCTCTCCCTCCCCTTTTTATAACTGAAACATGAGTGTGGATATCGTGTTTATCTTTTCAGATTTCAACTACAGTCCGAGCTTGTGGTCTGTTTCATATTTTGACCTGAGAAATGGGAGCTTGAGTGGACATTTGTTTGAAATTTGGAATAATATTTAGCGTCTCTGACATATTTGGATTATATCTTCCCTGATGCAAGGTCAGGGGGGCACGGTTGACTCCTTTCCTGAAACTGTTAACATTGATGAGGGATCTAATCCCAATGACACGAGTATTGGTCAACCGAATTCTTTGCATAACATGCTGTATCCTGTGGAAAATCGATTATCCAATTATGCAGTGTCTTCCGCTGGGACAATGCATGGAAACACTACTACTCCTGATGTTCAGAGGTTTAGTGGCTGGAGTTATGGTGAACCAAGCTCTAGATTGAGAATGCAAAACGAGGTGATGCAGGATGTTCTAAATCACCAGCTCAATGATGATAGAACAAAAATAGAGCGTGATTGGCCTTCTTATGGTGCTCATGTTGTTCCAAGGTCGGAAGAAAGGCTGATTGAGCCAGCAAATGCCATTTTTCCTGGGATATTGAATAATGGTCGAAGTAGCAATCAGGTCCGGAGTCCCATATTTTTGCAAGGTTCAAGCTCTAATCATAGCCCACAAAATGTGAATCTAAATGAAGGGTTTATTAGCAGCAGTAGGAATGGAAGGTCAGGCATGGGAAATGGTATAGGTCTCAATGTCCACAACTCGGTTGGACTAGAAAGAGAACATATATCCAATGCTGGTGTTTCTTCCGATAATGTTGGTAGTTCATCTGGAAGCTCTAATCATGTGGGGGAGGAAAATATTGATGGTTCTGGCTCATCTTTGGGCAGTTGGGGTTTATCCTGCAAAAGGAAGGTCCTTGAAGGTACTTCTGCACAGTCTTATTCTGCTGATACTTCAAGCTGTTTTCAACAAATAGACAATGCTGCATGGCATGCTGGTCCCTCTCGTAATGATGCTTCTAGCAGCTTGAGTTTATCAACACCCTCTTGGAATTTCCTTAATGTTGGTCCCCCCGATCAGCCGAATCCAAGAGTTGGGCTTGGTACGAGAGGAGTAATTAGTGATGCATTTACTTCTAGTGTAAGAAGAGCAAATGCAGGAAACCGACAAGAATCTTTACCATATAGTTTACCATCAACTGCAGTTGCTGGCCATTCCAGTTTTGGCTCTCCTGTTCACTCTAGAGCTGCCCCATTTGGTGACTCTTTAGACTTGAGATCCCCCGGGGTTATAGCTGGAAATTCTAGTTTTGTGCCAACACAACCTCATATTAGGACCACTTCTGTTGTGCCACGAAATGTGAATCCTTTCCCTTGGAATGGTGCTTCCAGTTTAAGAGCTGCCAACCCCCCAAGTTCTACTAATTTTGGAGAGAGAGCTGCTGCGGACGAACCAAACATAAGAAATATCCCAAGAAACAATACAGAGCATCCCATGCTTGTACCAGCCACTGAGATGAGAAATGTAGCACAAGAACCAACAGATTGGAATTTGGCTTCCAGAAATATTAGCACTTCTGGAGGTATGCCATCTTTTAGTCAACCTGGACGTAGTTCAAGTAACCATCCTTTGCCCACTCATGCCTGGATTCCTCCTCGCAGCCCTCCACTAAGGCTATCAGATTTTTCTCCGTGGTCTTTATTTCCTCCAATTGATTCTGAACCTGGTGGTCGTAGTGGCCATTTTCTGTCATTGTCTTCAGGCCCTTCTGCTTCCTCACGAGAGACAGTTGTGCCATCTGGATCGAACATTCTAGGTAACAATCAACCTTATCCAAGGTCAGCATTCATATTGGAGAGACAAGATGGTGATGTCCTTGGGATGCCCCACTCATTGCGTGCTTTGGCTGCTGACATTGAAGGGAGACACCGGCTAATATCTGAGGTTTGTTTCTGAAGGTCTTTTTTACATTTTAACTTTGTTGTCTCTGTACGGTTATTTCTCATTCTTCTTGAATAAGGTTTGCTTTCATATAACAGTAACAAATTTGGCTTTCCAGATAATGGATAGCAGCATTCTTGAATTACCTTTTTACCCAATCTTATGATGTGCAGTTAAAATTAGTAACTAGTAGTGTTTATATGCATATAAACTTACACCCGTGCATGCATACACACTTATGGTTTATCTACTAGTACTGACAAACTCAAAACCATAAATTTAATTATTGGAAGATGATTTGATTTCTAAATTGCTATTAATACTGTTTTTGTGTTTTTGGCATTTCATATTTAGTGTTCGTCACAAATTCATTTTGAATAGGATATTTGTAAGTACCTTTACTTATCCATATATGTTATATTGAACGGTCAAGGACAAAAGCAGATTTGTAGATTCTTTTCTTTCTATTTTTTATATTTGACATTCTCCCCGGATTAGTAGTTTGTAGGCGTTCGTTTTTATCTAAAACTTCCATCCACCTCATCACAATCTAAGGCTTATTTTGTGACAAGACTGTGTGCCCTTTGTCATTTCATTCTGGGTATCAGGGCAACTTTCAGAATTAATCAATGCAGTTAACATGTCATATCAGTGCTTAATATTTAATTAAGATGTGAAATCTTGAGCGTACTCAATATAGATCTAAAGCTTGTTAATTTATCACATTTCAGAAAATAATCCCTATTACAGAAGCTGACCGGTTAAATTTTGAGATAAAATTTATGCACCAGTAAATTTTCCCTCTATAATGGCAATTGAACATAAGAAATTATTCTAATTCCTTACTGCTCATGTTCTTCTCCATATGTCAGATACGCCAAGTCTTGAACGCCATGCGCAGAGGGGAGAATTTACGAATTGAGGTTTGGTTTTTGATTCATGCAATGTTTATTTTTGTGCATAGAGTTTTTTTTTTTCTTTAGCTACATTGACTATAATGATTTAGCTGGTTAAGTTTGAAAATATCCATTTCCTTGTTTTGACTTTAATCTTACAAAACAGTTTTAGGGTTTCACCAATAAGTGGTATGGTTTCTGTGCAATTCGTATCCTTTCCCATTTTTTGAATTTTTCTCGTACCATGTTCTCTCTAAAATACAACACTGTCGTTGGAGCATTTCAAGCAGTTATATGGCTTTGGTGCAAATGTTTCTCTGTAATAGTTGCAGGTGTTGGTGCTGATGTGCGGAAACAATATCATTTTCGTTCTTTATTGGCCTCTTTTCATTAGTTGGGATGATGCAGTTTTCTAGAGTAGGTTCTCCTTATCGAGAACAGTTTCTCCTTATGTTACTAGCTGAGTCTTGAATAATCTGTCAGATGATTTTCAGAAGAATATTATCGGATAATTTGGTGTATGGAAAGTATGTTCTGCAGATCAATAACTAGATTGCTTCCACTCTGTTGGACACGCTATTGATGTGGTTTTTTATGTTCATATTGCATACATTTCTAAATTCTTTGGAAACAGGTTCCCGCAAATTGAGAGAGAAGGAGCTCTATAACTGGAGCACCCGCGTACAAAGCCTAGAAAGTTACTCTGTTGTCTGAAAATAATTTGTTTCTATCTTTATGTGATATCCTTTCAGGATTATAGGGTGTTCGATCCGTTCATATATCATGGTATGGCCGAAACACAGGACAGACATAGAGAATTGCGCCTCGATGTTGATAACATGTCTTATGAGGTAAAAAGGGATTGCTGTTTTTTCTTTCAATCACTTCACATTGGGGGCTAATCTTCTCACATTGCAAATGGAACGCTAGGAATTGTTGGCATTAGAAGAACGCATTGGAGATGTTAGCACCGGACTAAACGAGGAAACCATTCTGAAGTTGATGAAACAGAAAAAGTATTCATCCACCACAACAGAATCCACACAAGAATTGGAACCTTGTTGTATCTGTCAGGTACGAAACTAGTCACAACACTAGAAATTCGTTCATCTTACCTGTTAAATTTAAAGTCTCGTTTACCTTGTCTGAGCTTCAACAATGGCAGGAAGAATATGCAGATGGGGATGATACCGGGATACTAGATTGTGGACATGACTTCCACACAAACTGCATCAAACAGTGGTTAACGCTAAAAAACCTGTGCCCCATTTGTAAGACAACAGACCTGCTCAAGTAAAGAGCAAAGGCCATAGTCGGATCCAATAATAGGGTTGGATTATATATATATCTGATTCGAACCCGCTTTTCTTACCCTTGAACTGTAACTTTCAAGGCGACAGAGCGGGTGTTAATGTTATGAATTGCGGGATTAGTTTGTTCAATAACTTGCATAAAGCATCATGGCAATGATGAAACAAATTTGAAATAATATGGTATTTTATTGGCATTATCAAGCTTCAAGAATATCAATAGTACTAGTTTCTTAAATGTTTGCAATAACTTATGTATGTGCTAGTATAGTATATTATATTATCAAGCGGGTGTTAATGTTATGAATTGCGGGATTAGGTTTGAACTTGATTCGATACCACTTGATATTTTTATTATATTATGTATATATAAAATAAAGCAGGGTTCATCATGAGTTGTGGGACCATCTTCTTAGAACGCGGTTTAGAAATTATATATATACTTATAAATCCGATAAAATGTATATATAATGGTAATGTACATACGTTTTTGGTTTGATTCAGAGTAACGGCATTGCCTTGTATGATTGTATTTTGGGCTCTTCTCTTCCTTCTTCGAAGACAATTCTCCCCCTCCTCCCTTTATCACCTTTTGTTTGCCACCTTTTGAACGACTCCTCTCTCTTTTCTTACACATCTGTCCTCTTTCTTTTTTTCGAACTGTCTCTGTGATTGTCATGTCTGAAGAAGGCGGCCATGGCAGTTTCTTACTATTGGAAAACCAGCCATGGACAGCTGCTTTATACAACTCTGATAATAAGAATGATAACAATTCTTCAACTGGTACTGGTAGTGAAGACAAATCTGCAGGCAACCCAACGACCAACAACAACCTTTGCAAGACTCGACAAATACGAAGAATAGTAAGAGAGGGACGGAGTCGGATCATGAGATGCATATATGGACCGAAAGGAAAAGGAGGAAGAAGATGAGGAATATGTTCTCTGGCCTCCATGGCTTGCTTCCTCAGCTACCACCTAAGGTATATCCCAAAAAAAAAGCCACTCGTGGAAATACAAAGTTGTTTCATTCATCATGCTTCTAACCTCGTTAAATTTCGTAAACAATAAGATATTATCATGGTATGGCTGAATCTTCTTTTACAAGAATAAGAAGATATGTCATATATCCATTCATTCATGAGCAGCAAAAGATTAACTTTTTGGATTAATAAGTGTTTACCTACATGAGAACTTGAAAAAGTTGAAAGAAAACGTAGGTTTCAGTTATGGAAAGTGCACGTAGATTACTTAATTTGTTTAAGTATGGAAATGTATTTATTGTAGCCGAGTTGTCATAATCTGCATTTTGTGTTGATGGAACAATCATATAATCACTACAATATATAACCCAATTATCTCAATATTTGAATGGTTGTAATTACAACATTTGATGAACAGTATGAATCATGTTTTTTACAGGCTGACAAATCCACCATAGTCGATGAAGCAGTGACCTACATCAAAACCCTAGAGAAAACACTCCAAAAGCTACAGAAACAAAAGGTAGAGAGACTCCAAGGTTGCTCTGATCTCGGTTATCATCAAGAGACCTCCATGGAGACCGCGCAGAATCATCTGGAAGCTCATGATTCAAGCAGCAGAAGGAAAGCATCCATGGTCTCGCAGTTTAAAACGTGGAGTTCTCCCAACGTTGTGTTGAACATATGCGGTAAAGAAGCACAGATCAGCGTGTGCTCACTGAAGAAACCAGGGCTCTTCACCACTGTTTGTGCACTTTGGAGAAGCACAAATTAGAGGTGACATCGGCGTATGTTTCCTTGGTTTCTAATCGCTGCATGTTCATGATTCAAGCGCATGTAAGTTCCTTTGCTTTATTTCTTATTTAACGCTACGTATTTAGTCACTCATATATTCTCGCAGTTTCATTTTGCTCATTCAATTATTTTTCTAAATTATACCTAGCATTACATTACGTTTTGATTCTATTTTAATCACCCATCATTAAAAAATTAATAGTGATACTGACATATTTCTATAAGACAATGTTATGTCATCACTGAAAAAAATTAAAAAAAGATTATCACTTTAACAATAATGTTTATTTTTAAACGATAGGTAATCAAAATAGAATCAAAACGAAAAGTCGGATATGATTTTAAAAGAATAATTGAGTAACTAGAAAAAATCTACATGAATAGATGAGTGTATGAATACATATAATTTTTTTTTAAATATTTACTTCAATTTAGTAGATGTTTTATGCACGTCTATAAATTGTTTTAGCAGCAGCTATATATATAATTTAAATGATTTTAAATATTTTTTATATGTATTTATTAAAATATTTTATATCTTTAACATAAAATTATATAATTTATTTTAAAATTTTAAATGATTGGAATCATTTCTTTCACTAATTTAAAGAGTTAAAAATAATCTCTTTCAAAATAAACCGATTTTATGAGATCAATGGATAAATCCATGAAATTAAAATTTAGTCAATAAAATTTCATTTTCTGCCGTTTTGAAAATTGAAGCTCACCAATTACTTCTATCGATATCTTTTTTCCACAAAAGAAAATAAATAATAATGAAAAACAACGAAAAGAAGTTGAAAACCTAAGGAATTATATTTTTCTTTTTTTTTATAATTAAAAACAAAAGTTGAAATAAAATAATTCATAAATAAGATTCTAAAAATATTTGAATCTATTAAAGTATCATTTAAAAAATAAAAATTTAATCAATAAATTTAAATATATAAAAAAGTATTCGGTTTAAATTTCTAAAATGTATGTTCTTATGAGTAACTTGGATTTTAGTCTAACGAATTCAAATAGTGAAGTTATTATGGTTCTAGTCCTTCTAATATGCTAAATATTTGATATTTAGCTCCTTTAATCTTATATAACTTTATCTCTTTACTTTTATAATTTAATTAGTTATTCATAGTTATTATCGTGCGAATTATAATTGATTTTCTATTGTATGTGATACAAAGATGCTTTGACGAAGAACTCAAGTAAGACTTTTTAACTGAGATAGTTAATAATATCAATCATTTGGACTAATAAATGTTAATATAAAAGTTGAAAGATCGGATTATTAAAGTATATAAATTAAATATCAAATTTGATCATTCTAAAAAATATTTTTAGAACCGTCAATGACAATATCAATTTTATGATAAGCAGGTGGCAAGTAGTGGAGCTTCTAATCATCAGCTGACAGGTATTTGCACTGGACGAAGTATTCAAACAAGCTGCAGCTGAGATAATGTGCTGGGTTACTTCTTGATCAACTCATACATAGTAATTCCTTGTTTTCATATAAGCTATGTGCATGAGAGGTTTTCTACATATATTTACGAGTCAAACGCTCCTTTTCTTTTTAAACTTGTCTGCATATGCCTCAAGGTACCTGTGTTTATTCCATGCTTGAAAGCATGCTATTTTAAAAATATTATTATTAAGATGATAAAGAGAGAGAGAGAGAGAGAGAGAGAGAGAGAGAGACATATTTTTTATGCAATGAGTACATTATATGACTGCTTCAACCTGTATCACATCTCTCCCACATATTGGGCCAAGATGTTGTGGAACATAATCTACAACACATATTGGGCTTAAAAACAATGTATCAACCTCCAGATTTCATAGGCAATTCCTCAACCCAAAACAAAAAAGAAATACCAACTATATGTCAGGTTGAATAAATCAAACGATCTCAGTGATTAAAAAGATGATTGTTATCCTTACAGATTATGGGTTCAAGCACGTCGTCTGTAGGGATGTCTGAGCATTCATTGTCAAATGATTGAGAATCTTTCGAACAAATACTATTTTGTAAACACCTCATGCTAATAAAAACTAAAAGACTATCAAGTTGTTCAATTCTATGAATTACAATCATATTTGGAAAAAGATATATATTGTTATGTCTAAATGGTAATCGATATTAAACTATGAATATCTTAGGGACATTCGGTTTACATAATATAATATGGCTTTTTAATAAAATTTAAAATTATTCAATATATTATTAGAAATATTATTTAGTTCAATTGATCGATATATAAGATTATTTAAAGAGATAGAATCCATTCACATTAGGTAAAATTCATTACCTTTAAACGAGAATAGTCATTGAATTAATCTAAATGAATGGATGAGATTAATATTTTACGCATTAATATTATCTTTTTTTTCCTCTAAAATTTCCAAAAAAAAAATGGATACTTTTATTTTTAATCTCAATTATTCATTTAATTTTATTAAATGATTATCTTCGTGTAAAATTAATGAATTTTACATTATCTTACCTTTTATTTATGCATATTTCGTTAATCAAATAATAAAATTTGATATTCTAATTAAATAAACTGAACATAATAATATAATATAATCCATAATAAATATTAACATTTCTCATAATCATATTATTCGAAGTAATTGTTAGTTTTTGGCAAAAATTGGCCAAATCCCACATTGGAAATGAACAAAGGATGGAAAAATTCTTAGCCTATAAATAGAACATTTCCCTTTGGTTAAATGTATGTCAATCACCAAAATACAAGTGGTGTACTAGAAAGCTATTAGCTATACTAGTAGAGAATTTAAAGGGAAATTCTCTTGGGGTGTACTTTAGCTTTTGGGCATGTGTGAGAGTTAAATATTTTGTAGTGTGGTTGTAATAATTTTCCACATAGTAAATATTTTTTTTCTTGGTTGTCTTTTGACAACGCTTGTGGTTTTTCTCCATTTGGGAGTTTTCCACGTTAAATTATTGTGTTTTCTCTCTTTTATTTTTCAAGTATTTTTGTTAATGTTGTGATCTAAAAGGAATGTTGGATTACAAGGGGTCTATTTTCCCAACAATTGGTATCGGAGTCAATGGTTTGGTAAAAGATAAATTTCAAGGTGGGGTAAGAATTTCTTTAAAATTCTTAGTATGCTCTGTGGTTGCGGCTTTGTCCGATCTTCTACATCAGAAAAGATTTTTTAGAAATTGTTGTGGTCCAACTGGAGGTCTTTTAAATACGTTATTGTGTTTATTGAGTGTGGTATTGTGTAAGTAAGTGCAGCCAAGAAAGTTGTCACAAAGGCTATAATCGCCTAAGGAGGTTGGGACTTAAGCGGTACCATTTGTGTCCCCCCAATCTTTCCTGGAAACTTTCTTAGTGCATTTTGTAGACACAATTGTTCACTCATTATTCACGTGTGAGATCACTGGAGCATTGTTGAGCAAAAATGAGTTTCAGATTTGATATTGAGAAATTTGATGGGAGAATTAATTTTGGGTTGTGGCAAGTACAAGTCAAGGATATACTAATCCAGTCTGGATTGTATAAGGCCTTAAAGGGAAAGCCAGCTTCTTTGTCCGAAGGAAAGGAACCAGATAAACCTAGTGACAGTAGTGGAGACAAGGGAAAATCCAAGATGAGTGAAGAAGAATGGGAGGAGTTAGACATGAGAGCAGCAAGTCAAATTCGTCTTTGTCTAGCAAAAAATGTTCTTGCTAATGTTGCTAGATGGTCATCAACAAAGGAGCTTTGGGAAAAGCTTGAGGAAATGTACCAAGCTAAAAGTCTTTCAAATAGGTTATATTTGAAGGAGAAATTTCACAAATTGCAAATGGAAGAAGGTACAAAAATTTCTGACCACCTTAGTGCACTCAATGGGATTGTTTCTGAACTGGAATCTATTGGAGTGGAGATTGATGATGAAGATAAAGCATTGAGACTTATTTGGTCTCTTCCATCTTCCTATGAGCACATGCAAACCGTTTTAATGTACGGGAAAGAGAATGTGAATTTTTCAGAAGTGACAAGTAAGCTGACTTCGGAAGAAAGAAGGTTGAAAAATGGAGAGAACAAATCTTCTGAAAGTGGAGCATTGTCGGTTTGTGGAAATAGGAAGAAGTATAAAGGCTCCAAAAAGAAAATTATCTGCTGGGGATGTGGGCAACCTGGACATCTAAAGAAGAATTGCAAAAACGGTGGAGCTAATTCGGCTAATGGCTCCAAAAGTGATGCTACTAATGTAGTCGTCTTTGAAAATGAAGACGATGAATTTGTTTTTTAAAGTAAGATATATATATCCTCATGGTATGATAGCTACCAATTGAGTTGCCATGGAAAAGGATGTATGAAAAGGTAGCATGTCCACATTTACACATGGGCATTGGTTGACAGTTGATGCAAGGTGTGTGGTGGAATTGATGTCGATGGCTAATGAACTTCCTAGAAAGTCAATATTGGAAGTTGCACCATAACTTATTAGCAGTTTTTCGACATGAACTGGTCGAGGTAAAAATTCTTGGAGTTAGTGAATTCCAAGTGTGTATACTCTTATGGTGGAGTATGACAATTCTTGTTTTTAGAATTGTGACTATCATAGCTGATGGTGTTATTGAGGTAGCTGTTGTTTTTATGGTGAAGAATTGTATGGAATTTTTGCCAAGGTGGAGATTTGTTAGTTTTTGGCAAAAATTGGCCAAATCCCACATTGGAAATGAACAAAGGATGGAAAAATTCTTAGCCTATAAATAGAACATTTCCCTTTGGTTAAATGTATGTCAATCACCAAAATACAAGTGGTGTACTAGAAAGCTATTAACTATACTAGTAGAGAATTTAAAGGGAAATTCTCTTGGGGTGTACTTTAGCTTTTGGGCATGTGTGAGAGTTAAATATTTTGTAGTGTGGTTGTAATAATTTTCCACATAGTAAATATTTTTTTTCTTGGTTGTCTTTTGACAACGCTTGTGGTTTTTCTCCATTTGGGAGTTTTCCACGTTAAATTATTGTGTTTTCTCTCTTTTATTTTTCAAGTATTTTTGTTAATGTTGTGATCTAAAAGGATTGTTGGATTACAAGGGGTCTATTTTCCCAACAGTAATCTTATATTTCATAAATTAAATATCCTTTAAGAATCTTATATCACCAAAGTATCATATATTTTATAAATCTTTAACGCAGTTGTAAATGTATGATTATTAACTCGATATATTCTTTATAAATCAAATATTATTATATTATACCAAAATATAATATTACTTCAAAAATCTTCAAACAAATGATACTATCAGTGGAGCAATGATAAACCACAAATTGCTTCTGCCACACTTGAATCATCCTTTGGACGCACTGGGCAGGCCTTGTCACTGACAACGTATAAAATGGTGATATGCATGCCAATTGTTTGTGGAAATGAGTCAAGATACTAAAACTTTATGCCATTCTACGGTGGTTGCCAACCTAATCGAGAGCCATTAATGGGTTGGACCCCAAATGTTGCCAAAAAAGAATAATAAAACAGAAAACAAAAATTTTCCCATTTGTTTTAGTGAGTGACCAAAAGAGTAAGAAACAAAGTTGGAAACAACGTGAGCACTAGTAACCATCCCCACACCAACAGAGACGAAGAATATAGGAGTATGAAACACCATGTGATTCCATGGTTTTTATTCAGACACCACCATGTGACCCGTCACCTTCTTTTAAACCCAAAATGCTTGTTTTTTGCCATTGGAGATGGAGAAGGGGGGCCACTCCTTCCCCTGTTTCCATGCCATGATTCCTTTGTGGACCTCTACCATGCACGCCATATCCAAAATAAAACAAAAAAGAATGACCTACTTATTTTATCTATCATCTATCTTTAACAGTCTACGGTAAAAAAAAAATTCCTTCCAAGTTTATATTAGAAACAATAATACTTTGTCTTTTGTTGAGTTACCACCAAATCAGAAATCAGATAACTAAAAATGGATTTTCAGAGTAAAGAAGAATGCATATGGGCCGCTTGCTTGATACAAAGCTAGGCTTGTTGTAAAAAGGTTCCTACCACAAGTCGAGCGTGATTTTGATGAAATCCAGTTCAGTAGTTAAAACTATTATTGTGAGAACTTTACTTTTTGAGAATGGTATCTATGATAAGTTAACGTTAATATTGTCTTTTTCTAAATAGGGAATTAATCGAAGAATTGTGTATGGTACAATCTTCAGGTATGAACAAAATGTCAAGAAATTAGTCTAGAAATTGAATAAAACTACTTATGGTTTTAAACAAACACTCCAAGTCTAATTCGACAAACTTAAGAAATATAGGATATTTGAAGGGTTTGTCTTATTATATGCTTTCATATTTGTCAGAAAGAAGACAATTTTCTTTGTTTATTTTTTGTCTACATAGACAATATCATTCTTAGTGAAAATTATAATATTTAAACAGACGATTATCGATGCTTTGGATAAAACTTTTTCGTTAGAGAACATTGAACTATTTATTTACGTATTGAGGTGTAACATTTGTTACTCTAAAGATGAATTATTCTTAAGTAAAAAAAAAACATTGAAGATCTCTTGAAGAAAAATAATTTCGAAAATGCAAATAGTTTATCTATATATATACTGTAACTAGCTGTAGGTTGTCTGTCAACGGTGGGAGTCTTATTAGAAATGTGATAAAGAGTATAGAAGTACTGTTGGAGTGTTATGATATAAAGTAGTCGCTAAACATGAAATTGTCTTCGTTGTTAATTGTTTTTGTGAGTTCATGCAAGCTCTTCTAAACACTTTGTTGATGCAAATTAGGGATCTGGAATTGATAATCGTCAATCCATAACTGGATATTGTGTCTATTTTAAAGGAAATCTATGTCTTGAGACTAGAGATCTTATGGCTCAGTCCTTGCTCAATGAACTACACATTGTAGTGTGATAATTTTGGTACAATTAAAGATTTCATCAATCATTCCAAGTTTAAACATATCAAGTTGGATTTATTTGTTGCTTATGGAAAAGTGATGTGAAAACTGGTTGATCAAACCCTTGTTAGCATCGTCTTTTTATCGTTTTCAAGACAAATTCTGCATCTATCGTAGTAATCTCAAATCTTAACAGCCAACAACAGATCTATCATTCATTTGCTTTCCTTGAACAAAAATTACAGTCTTTCTCCATTTACACCGTCTAAAACCTGGATTTTTTTTAAAATTTCTCTTTCATTTTAAACAAAAAAAATAACATTAAAATCTTTCTACAAGAAAAGAAGAAAAATTGTAAGAATCTTAGTTCAAAAGGGTACGATTCCACTGCAACCAAAATCGTCCAAATCCCCCATGGAATCTTCGGGCCACGAATCCCGAAGCAACTTCAGTAGCATTTGAGCTTTCCTCTTCGCCCTTTCCGTACAATCACTCTGAACCAACAACAGCAGCTGAGTCAGAACGCCCGCGTTCACTGCCTCCCTCTGACACTGTTCCGTGCTCGAGCACAGCGCCATCAGCGCACCGGCGGCGTACTCCGTCGCCCTTTCTGAGATCTTTAGTATCGTTTTGACCAACAGCGGGACCGTAAGCGCGTGCGAAGCAAACGCGGAACACCCGGAGGGAATCCGACATAACAACTCTATGGTTGCCAAAGCTCGTTCGGCTTCGCATTTATCCAAGTCGGCCAACCGGTCGATCAACGTCTCCGGTGCCCCGGCTTGAACCGCTTTCTGCCGGGTTTGTTTCACTAAGCACAAAGCGAAGAGAGCTCGAATGCCGGTTCTTAACGCGCGGGGATAAGAGTTGAGGTCCCTTAATATGCCCGTCACCCCTTCGAAGATTTCATCCACATTGATTATCTGAGCTCGGAGCTCCAACGATCTCGTTCCGGAAAGAACGATTTCGATGAGCGAAGCCGAGTTGATTCGGACTTCGATCGAGGAATGGAACAACATATGCGATAAGTATATCACTCTGTCCGGATCCGAAGCGATCGACTCGCACTCGGGTTCACTAAGTTGAAACATCACTAAAACAGCAAGCGCCTCCACATTCAACACCGACGAACCTGAACCCGTATCCGTAAACAAGACATTTATCAGTATTTCCCGTGCGTTATGCGAAGAAATAACACACCGGTTTTTATCAGAATCACGAGCGATGCCATTGAGTCGACGCAGAGCCGAAAGACGAGACTGAAACGGATTCGAAACAGACGAAGCTTGAGCCAGTAAAGCCCGAACCATGGTGGGGTCGGCAGGTTGTTTAGGCGTGGGAATCCGCTGGATACCAAAAGCCTGGTTGGCGACACACCAATCTTGAATAAGTCGGCGAAGGGTATGGTTGGGGATAAAAGTGAAATCATTGAGAGGGACACGAGTGACGGGACAAGTGGTGTTACCGGTGGCGATCCAGGACTCGATGCTGGATCGGTCGTAGGTTTGACCGGTGCAGACGGTGACAGGGTCACGCATGAGGTCAAGTGAAATTGGACACCTGAAATGATAAGGAATTTGAAAACGAATCAAATCTAAAGGCTCAATTGTAGTTACAGGCATCTCTGAAGATTCTCTGACCGGTGCCTGTGTTTTTGGTTTGATATGGAAAAACAGAGAGACAAGAAGGAAAGAGCTGCAATGAAAATGGTGGGACTCCGGGAAGGGGAGGGACTTATCTTATCCGACTATGGGCCACACGTGTGACATTTATAAGTGTGGGCTCTAACGAATCGTGAGAAAGGGTTTTTGGTCAAAGTAAAATTATTAAATGATAAAAAATTATTTTAAATGTGATACTATAAAATATAATTATATATTTAAATGATATTATAAAGTAAAAAATATATATTTTAGATATTAAAAAGTATAAAATTAAAATTTTGAAATTAAAAATAAAATTGTTAAATTCCAAATACTGTGAAGAAAAAATACATCATTTCCTAACATATTGTCAACTCAGCACCAATGGGAAGTGAAACCTTTGATTTGAAGTAAAAAAAATAAAAATTTGACACACTTTTTATTTGGTTGGATTAAGACACTTCAACTGAACGAAATCTTTTCGACAGTTTCGCTTTAATTAACCTTTTCCCTGATTACTTTTTTATATATATAAAATTAATTAAGAGATTATTATTATTTATTAAACGAAAATTTGTTATTAAATAATTACAAATATTTAAATAAATATTATCTTAGGTTCATCTAGATTAATAAAAAAATTATAATATCTCATTAATTAGATTTGTTTTAATCTAATCACGAGTTCGTGCTTATAAATGATAACATGCATTTCTCATAAAAACATATAAAATGTGATGATCAAATTGTAAGTATTCACGTTCTTATATGAATAATCTAAATATAACATTTTAAAGGAAATAGATTAAAGGGTGCAAAAAAAGAAGAAATTTAATTCAGTTTTTGAATTTATTTTACAATCTAATATAAAGTCTTAGATTAAAAAAAATACAATTTTTCGATAAATATTGACATATTTAGATATTATATATAAACTGTTAATATAATAAATATTCACGTATTGATAATTATAATTTAAATACGTTCGGCATACTTAAACTGAAATTGAATGCATAAATTAAAAGTTAAAATATATAATATTAATTTTATATATCATATAAACTGAAATGAAATTAAATTAAATATAGAAAAAGGAGATTTTTTCAAAAAAAAAAAGGAAAAAAGAAAAAGAAGAGTGGGATATTTTAACGGTGAAAAGGAGAATAATAACTAGGCTTGAATTGTGTGTTATAAGAGTAAATGGAGTCTTAGCTGGCAGTCAAAGGTCAAAGGGAGAGAGGAATGTTCGGGTCCAGGTTGTCTCTTTATTTTCCCATTTTATTTATTAAAAAGGTTCTCGTGGACGTCATCACATCAAATACGGGTGGTTTCTAGATGGGAGTGGGGACTCCATAAGTGGACAATGTAAGATGGAGTGGACCCTCACTACTCTATTCTCGACTATTTGATTAAACTGACATTGTTTAATCGAATATTTATCTTTTTAGTATCGTTTGATATATATTTTTTGAAGTGGCACCCTTTCGACTGAGCTGGCGAAAGACGCATCCCCGGGGACGCGCTTTACCCGAATTTTCGCTGAGTTGGATGCCACGTTTAAATGTCATAAATGCCCCCATCCGTTTTCCCTAACTACCCCTCCTCCTCCCCTATATAAACCCATTCAACCCTCCCTCATTCTTCACACCAAAATCATATTCTCCTATTTTATATAATTCAAATTCTCCAACTATTTGAGTTTTAAATTTTTTATTAGTGGTAAGAAATTTATTTTTATGTTAGTATTTTTTTAAATAGTTATTATATTTTATATTAATATATTTATATAAATATTATTTTTTATTAAAATAATATTTATATAATTATTATTTATTTAGAATTATTAATTTTTTTGTGTGCTAATTATATTGTTTTGTCTACAATTATAATGGAAAACGAAATGCTGCTGCGATTTGATGTTGATCATATCTCCAGACATTTTAGCGATATGGTAATATTTTTTATAATTAATGTTAATATTTAAATTTATTTTTAATTTAAAGTTATTATGAATTTATATTAATTTTAATTTTTTATAATGTATATTATTTAGGATACTGATCGTATTTTAGAGACTTTTATTAAAAATCCACGAATACCGACACCAGAACATATTTTGCCATATTTGGCTTCTGCCGGGTTCGGGTATATTGCAACAATTATTGGCGGTTGCAAACTCGAACATGTCCTAATTTCTGCACTGATTAAGAGGTGGAGGCCCGAGACACACACTTTTCACCTTCCATGTGGAGAGGTCACAATTACATTGGAGGATGTCTCTATGCATCTGGGGCTTCCCGTCGACGGAAATATGATGTGTGGTATGGCGGATGGTGATTGGCAGTCAATGTGCATTGATTATCTTGGAGCTGCTCCGCCAGAGTTTAATGGAGGTAGAATAGTTTTATCTTGGTTGAAAGCTAATTTTGAGGTTTTAAATGAAAATGCTTCAGAGGATCAAGAAAAGGCATGTGCTCGGGCATATATTCTACGAATCATTGGAGGAATATTGATGCCCGACAAATCTCGCAACTAGGTGCATTGTATGTGGTTGCGGCATCTGATCGATTTTGATGAAGCTAGAAGATATAGTTGGGGCTCTGCAGTTTTGACATTTCTCTTTAGAGAAATGTGTCGGGCGACGAATTATAAGAAAACTGCTATCGGTTGATGTCTCATGCTTCTACAATCATGGGCGTGGTTCCGCATGCCTTTCTTATGCCCGATCGTGAATGAACCATACGTATTCCCTTTATTGTTGAGGTAATTTTCGAACTAAATTTTGATTTAAATATTTTTAATTAAATAGGGTGATATTTAGTTTATATTATATTTCATAGGCGGTCGATGAAAAGAAAGAACCATAAAAGTATACCTACTAGGTTAGAGGAAATTCGTTTACTTATTGATATGAAAGCTAGGTCTGAGGTATATTTTTAAATCTGTTTAAATATTAATATTTTAATTTAAAATGCTAGATATAATTAGAATATTTTATTTATTTGAATTGTATATTTATATTTCAGTTTCAGTGGATACCTTATGCGAGCGATGAAGTGAAGACTTGCATCCCACCCCACCTTAGTGGGTCATTAGAGGTACGGATGTCGGTTATACCTCTTATATGTTATGCTATTATTGAGTGGCATCCAGTTGATCGCGTGCTCCGTCAGTATGGTGTTACGCAATATATTCCTGGAGCACCTAGGAATTTAGACGACGTGCATAACATAGATAGACGAGGAAAGAAAGAGGTTAATTGGGTGGTGAGACACAGAGATTGGATTGCGCTTTGGGAGAACCGATATGCACTGTTAGCCCCTCGACAATATTACGCTGAAACTGGTCATATGGTTACGGATAACTATATGGACTGGCTTAATGAAAATGGGAAGTCGTTTCTACTTTCGTCAGAAGCACGAAGGGTTAGCATTCCTGGGCGCCAAGAAAGACGTCAACCGTCTCAATATCATCGTCCCCCGACGCGTGGACGGAGGGAAGGCGCTACCGGTTCTGCATCAGTCTCACCACAACATCCTTATCCGCCGATGTCGCAGGGGTACATGCCCAACCCACCACTTCATATGCCAATCCCACCAGTTCATATGCTATCTTCGTAGGGTTACATTCCGAGCCCGCAGGGTTATATTCCTAGACCGCCAGGTTACATTCCGAGCCCGCAGGGTTACATTCCTAGCCCGCCAGGTTACATGCCTAGCCCGCAGGGTTTTATACCATATGGAGGTGCACATACGACTATGTTTAATGATCCAGCATATGGTTCATATTCATCTTATTTGGCTGGTGGTGCTTCTCCGCAGACACCTCAATCTCCATCTGGATCACAGACATCGATGCCAATGTTTCCACAGTTTTTACAGTTCCCGGGGAGCGGTGGGATTGCTACTAGCACTCCTCCAGGGTCGTTATTTTATACATACCCTTCAGCCCCTTCAGCGTCATCTACACCAAATGAAGAAAATGTTGATGATGATGATAGTGAAGATGAGGAGACTGAAGAACAAGTTCCACGAAGAAATCTTCCACGAAATAGACAACCACTGCCATGTGGAACTCATTCGAGAAGACGACGTCGGTGATCCAGTTGTATTTTAATGTTATTTAAATAGTTATATTTTAGAATTTTATGTAATTTGGTTATGTTATTTAAATGTTTCATGGTTGTTACATACATATTTTTAATGTTATTTTTTATTCACATTTAACATTAAATGTTTGATAAATGTTTTTAAAATACAAAATATATTATTCGAAATTTAAAATAAAAACAAAAACAATAATATTCAAAATTTAAAATTAAAATATAAATTATAGTATTCGAAATTTAACATTAAATTTCAACTTAATATTCCAATTGTATTCGAAATTAAAAGTTATATTCCAATTATATTCACAATACTTAAATTGAAATTAAATTTATCCATACATATGATTTTATCATTAACATATATATTAAAACGTATACATTAAAATCAACTTATCACTTCACATTTATTCGTAAAAACATCTCGATGCTCATTCCATACAATTTCAATGTCACAATCAACTTATCACTTCACATTTATTCAATTTATCCATAACATTTTATCTAATTTATTCAAACTTCACATAATGTTTTAATTTAAGTTATGAACTTAAATTAATCTATATGTATAATTTATTCTTAACTTGCTGAACTTTCAAAAGAAGTTAAATTTTGGTTATAATTTACCTGATTTCACAATCCATCTAGTGTCCCCGAGGGACATGATTAACATAATAGGGCAATGATAACATATTCTCTGACAAAATAATGGAAGACGCCCCCCCCGGGAACGCGGCTTCAAGTCCCCTGAGAAATAATATGTACTGATATGAATAGTGTCCCCGAGAGACATGAGTGACATAATAGGGCAATGATAACATATTCTCTGACAAAATAATAGAAGGCGCGCCCCCAGGAACGCGCCTTCAAGTCCCATGAGAAATAATAG